CCCCAAAACCCCAAAACCCCAAAACCCCATGTTTGTTTAATAACCAAGTTTAATGAGTAATATAAAAAATAATTTAAATATAATAAATCTTGGTATTTAAACCCCTTCACTCACATATATATTAATAATGTCAATTTAACCTAGTTTTCCTGCTATTGGGCGCAAAATTGCTCAGTCAGATTTGTTTGATATCTCATCAGTTCATGATGACAAGGAGAATCAGCAATCTGTTGGAAATGCAAGCTAAAGGTCAGCACTGTACGGAGACATTGAACAGGTACCTTCTAATGATTCCTAATAGATACAGATCAAGTCGAACAGTCCTTATAAGATAATGGATCACGATGAGGATGAAGCAGATGAGATTTCTGTGGGATAGGGTTCAGAGATGATACTTGATTTCAAGGTTGAAGGCATGACTTGCGTTGCATGCTCCAGAACGATTGAAAGCGCCATGATAACTGAATTCAAGCATCTAGGGTTGAAAAGTGTTTAAATAGCACTGCTCACTCATAAGATGAGAATGGTTTTTGATTTAGGAAAGTACCAGGAATGTGAAATGACACCCGAAAAAATTTCTGAGGAGGTAATGATGATAGGATTCACTGCTGATCTCATTGAAATGATTGAGAACAACCAAGAGGAACTTTTGAGAAAAAGAAGACAGTCAATGAGAAGCAGTGACTCCAGATTAGAAATTGAAATAAACCCAAATTAAGAATAGAACGGGAGGAGATCACCTAATGTGATTAAGACTTGCACTCTTATTATCTCTGGAATGACTTGCGCTAATTGTCAGATAACAATTGAGAGTCATTTGAAATCTCTCGAGGGAGTTCAAAGCTGTGTAGTCAATTTACTCACTCACAAGGCCTCAATAAAATATAAATCAAAACTCATTGGAATAAGAACAATTATTGAAGAAGTTGAGGCAATAGGATTCGCTGCAAAATATGAAGCGTAATCTGATAAGTCTGATATAAGAGTAATAGTAAATGAAGCTGTTCGCAAATATGCAATTAAGTTTTTCACCAGTTTGTTCCTTATAATTCCTATATTTGTACTTATCTACCTTATCCCAGTTACTAATCCCGATTTCATAACTGCCCATAATGCAACTAATGGTGTTCCTCTTTATGTGTATTTGAATGCATTCTTCGCAACAATCATTCAAGTTGTTATGGGGTCTCAATTCTATGTTAGTTCCTACAAGACCTTAAAGAATAAATCAGCCAACATGGATGTGCTAATTATGATGGGAACTACTTCAGCTTGGCTCTATGGAATAGTTAATATTGGGCTAGGTTATGATGAAGTAGATATGTAGGATCCAGATATGTTCAGAATGGTTATTTAAGAACATTCTCATAACTTTGAAATCTCATCAGCACTGATCACAATCATTTTACTTGGCAAATATCTCGAGTCTCTTTCGAAGAAGAAAACAGTGGAAAAATTGTCTTAATTGGCATCACTTAAAATAACGAAGGCGTTTATGCTGGATAAAAAGCCAGGATAACTTATCAGTCTTGACATGCCTACAAAAGAGATAGAAGTGGATCTGGTCCAGGTTGATGACTTGCTAGTGATATATCCTGGCTCTGGTATCCCTGTTGATGGAGTGACCGTCTTTGGAAAAGGAATATGCAATGAGGCTATGCTGACAGGTGAATCAAGGCCTATTAATAAGGATATCAACTCCAAGCTATATGGTGGTTCAATTCTTATTCAAGGGTAACTAATCATGAAGGTCACTAAGACTGCAGAGAACTCCTCAATCAACTAAATAATTAAACTTGTCGAGAACGCTTAAAATGCAAGAGCCCCTATTTAAGGGTTAGCTGATAGAATATCAAAGTATTTTGTACCTCTCGTATTACTTCTAACACTTGTAGCATGGATAATTTGGTTCTCTTATGCTTACTCTCAGGCTGGTTATGATAATATTGAATTGCATGGATAAACTAGATTTTAATTTGCGTTTGGATTCGGTATATCAACTCTTGTTATCGCTTGCCCATGTGCACTTGGACTTGCGACACCTACAGCTGTTATGGTTGGTACTGGTATTGCTGCATCTTTTGGAGTGTTGATCAAGGGAGGAGATGTCCTAGAAAAAATATCCTCAATAACAACCATAGTCTTTGATAAAACAGGTACTCTAACCTCTGGAGCACCACTGGTAAAAGATATTATATAGATAAAAGAACACTTCAAGCTTGAGGAGGCCATTGACGATAAAGATTTGATATTGTATTTCACGTATCTTGCCGAGAAAGGCAGTGAACACCCAATAGCCAAAGCAATTGTTTCAAAAATCAAAACACTGATACCTAGCAAAATGGATGAGTATAAGGATAGATATAGCGTAAGAGAATTTAAGAATAGAGATGGTGAAGGCATAGTAGCCATTATAGATGATAAAGATGAGAATAAGACGATTGAAGTGCTGTGCGGAAACGACAAATTGACTCATGCATTCAATGTCAGGTTTTACAATGTAACTTTAATCTTACTGACCCATAATGCTTTTAGTCTGAATTGAAGTAGAATATTGACATGTTAGAACAGGAAGGCTTGACAGTCATATTAGTTAGTATTGACAGAATACCTCAAATGATACTGTCTCTCGAAGAAGCACATTTGGCAAAATAAGAGTCAAGAGAAGTTGTTAACTATCTGAGAAAAGTAATGAAACTTAGAGTTGCAATGATCACTGGAGACAACAAGCATGCAGCTTTTAAAGTGGCTAGACATCTTGGTATTGATATAAACGATGTGGTCTATAAAGCGTATCCCGAGGACAAAAAGAAAGCAGTTGAAAGATTCTAGCTAGAGAGAAAAGAAAAAGTTATGTTCGTTGGAGATGGTATTAACGACTCCCCTGTCCTGGCTTAAGCTGATGTAGGAGTAGCTATTAACTCAGGATCAGAGATTACCGTGAACGCTGCAGGCATTGTGTTAATGAAGGATAATCTCTATGATGTAATAAACGCAATTAGAATCTCGAGGAGCTCATTCAGAAGAATTAAGATCAACTTCGTTTGGGCCTTCTTGTATAACATTTTACTCATTCCTATCGCAATGGGTCTGCTTTATCCAGGCCTTAAATTTAGACTTGATCCAATGCTTGCAGGAGGTGCAATGGCTGCCAGTTCTATATCAGTTGTTCTCTCTTCCCTTATGTTGAAATTCTTCAGACCAATTTACGCTTGGAACGATGATGGTATGTCCAGAAGAAGAAATTCATAGGATTTGACTTATGACATTCATACAAACTCTACCTCTAGCAGTGGTGGAACTGGAGTAAATAACTTCACTAAGGCCAGTGAAATAGCCAGCAAGAAATTTACTCCCTTACCATACCTCAACGCTCATTCAAGATCTCAAATTTATTCACAATCTTCAGTCTCAATTAATAAGATAACTGATCATGTTTAAATACTTTCACCTTTGAGATAAGTAAGATGAAGACTGAGATTCATTGAGTTAAAAGAGTATTAAAATTACTCTTTAACTTTCTCAACCTATTAAAAAACAAGTTAAAACTTATATTAATTTACGTCAAACAATCACCCACCTAAATTTATTAAAATTTAATTCATGGGGTTTTGGGGTTTTGGGGTTTTGGGGGTTTGGGG